CAGTCTGGGCGACAGAGTGAGACTCCAACTCAAAAAAACAAAAAAACAAAAAAACAAAAACAACAACAACAACAAAAATGGGGATAAACACTTGTCGTTATTTCTATTTGACAGGTGATGCAATGAGGCTCAGAGAGGTTAAGTAACTCACTCAAGGCCACATAGCCAGGAAGAACCACTGCTAGGTTTTAAACCCTGGAAGTGTGCTCTTCGACTTCAGGCTATGTGATTTGCAAGTCTAAGATGTCGTGATGAAAGTGCTTGTATTTCTAGGATGGGGGCTCATAGCCCAGGAAGCTCTCCCTACTCAACCCTTCCAGGCTGACCTGCAGCATCCCCTCATCCTAGCAAGGAATCAGGAAGGCTCTAACTAGTCTCCCTCTGCTGGTTCTGCCTGGCTGGGAAGGCAGCTCCTGTGCCCTCTTCTCTTGGGAATAGCTCTGTAGTCATAGCAGTATTAAAATTCATGAAGATGTTAGTCTGGGCAACACAGAGAGACCTCATCTCTATGAAAAAATAAAAAAATTAGCCAGGCATGGTGGCACATATAGTCCCAGCTACTCAGGAGACTGAGGCAGAAGGATCACCTGAGCTCAGGAATTTGAGCCTGCAGTGAGCCGTGATCGTGCCACTGCACTAAGACTGGGGTAGAGTGAGATGCTGACTCAAAATAAATAAAATAAAATTCATGAAAATATTATCACATGACACAGGGAAGCTCATGATAAAAGGGGTTACCAAGCCTGTGCTCAATTAACAAGTAAATGGATGGATAGAGATGAGATAATGAACCTCTCTCCACAAACTGTCAGAGGAACCCAGGTGGAATCTAAGAAGAAAGCAAAAGAAACATCCAAATAGGTGGAAAAAAATGGTGTTTAGTCAATACGGTAAAGCTCGTGCCCATTTCCCTTTTTATCTTTTTAAATCTTTTTTCTTATTGGCATCCAGTCCATTTCTTTTCTCTTTTCTTTTTTTTTTTTGAGTTGGAGTCTCACTCCATCGCCAAGGCTGGAATGCAGTGGCACACTCATGGCCACACCAGCATCAACCTGCTGGGCACCGGCGATCCTTCAGCCTCAGCCTTCCAAGTAGCTGGAACTATAGGCGTGCGCTACCACACCCAGTTCATTTTTTATTTATTGTAGAGATGAGGTCTCACCAAGTTGCCCAGGCAGGTCTCAAACCCGCGAGCTCAGGCAATCCACTCGCCTTGGCCTCCCAAAGTGCTGGGATTACAGGCTGAGCCACCGAGCCTGGCCCATGCCCATTTCTTATAGGAAAATCTCTCGGGTCTTAATTCAGAGCCTATGGATTGCTACTTTACACACAACTGTAACATACTTAGAATGCCCTTCCCCTGCATCCAGCTTCTCCAAATAAGCCTCCATAGATTCTCTCGGTTAAAATCAAACCCTCCTTCTCTCTTCTCTGGTATAACAAAGTCAAACAGATCCTGATTCAAACCTCAGCTTTGTTATTCAAAGGCAGTGTGATGTTTTGGAAGTTATTTAACTCCTCTGATCCTTAGTTTACCATTGATGAAATGGGGATAAGATCCCTGCCTGGAAAGTTTATCCCTGCCTAGGATAAATTGAGCTGCTTCGTGGAAGGCAGCCAGTGTAGTACCGGCACACAACAGGTGCTCAGTAATGACTATTGTCCTTTATGCCTCTGCTAACGTCTTATCCCAGACTATCCTGTATTCGGGTTATCTGTTTGTGTGTATTTCCCAGGCCAGAAAGTGAGGTCTGTGAGGAGAGGGGTGTGTCTGGTTCATCTCCGTGTTCCCTTGCCATACATAGCCCATGCCCTGTCCCTCTAACTTACCTACTCTCAGCATTTTTTTTTAAAGAGATGGGGTCTTGCTATGTTGCCCAAGTTAGTCTTGAACTCCTGAGCTCAAGCAGATCCTCCCAAAGTATTGGGATTACAGGTGTGAGCCACTGCACCCAGTCCCAGTTTGATTTTTAACTCACCCACAGTGGTGATGGGCCGGCGGTAGGGTAGTAAGCCAAAGCTATACTGAAAGACGCCGCGGCCATGGAAAAGTGGGAAGGAGATGCTCATGATCTTCTGCAGCCGGTTCTGGATATTGCGCAACCAGGAGCCACAAGAGTTCTCAACCTGGTCAAACAGGTCATTCTCCCCAAAGGAGAAGATCGGCACCAGAGGCACCCTGGAGGGAGACAGAGGAGAGAGGGCATGTGGGAGGCCCAGAGAAGGCTGAGCAGAAAGGTCCCCTTGCTTCCCGGGGGGACTCTGTGGTCGGAAAGTGGCACAGAGGACGGAGCCCTGGGTCAGAAGCAGGAGGCTTGGGTTATCTCCCAGACCTGCAGGGCTCCCCTCTCTGGCCTTGGGCGGGTCCCTCTCAGGGCCACAACTTCCCAGTTGTACCATGATAGACCAGAATGCTTCCGAGTCCTCCCAGGTATAAAAATCTGCAGTTTTTTCCCCTAGAGAAATCTCTCCCACCCCAGCCAGCACCCGTTTCTCCGTGATGCTTCACCCCAAGGTAGGAGAGCCACTCGACAACATGCCCCATTCTTCTAAGCCAAAGGTCTAGGGCCAGCTTCACAGAATATGTCCCTTCCCACCTAGTCCTCTGTAGGGGAAACTTTGGAGACACCAAAGTCTAATCTCCATTATGAACGAACTGAGAATCTCCCAGACAAAATAGAATCTGCATTCATCTCTGCTGTCTTCCCACCAAAATATAATAACCCTCGCCAATCGCCAACAGAACCCAGAGTGCTCTTCCCAGAGGCTTGATACCCGTGCATTAAGGCGAGCTTGATAAAGCCCTTGCGGTTCCTCAGCAGCAGCGTGAAGGCTCCAGGCCTGGCATCCAGGGCCTCCTGGGCGCCCCCGACAATGACAGCCAGCAGGTTCCCACCACCCTTCCTGCTCAGAATGTGAGCAGCGCTCTCCTTTTCTGACGTGACCAGCCCTAGGGAGAGAGGAAGGTGGGTCAGGCATGGGGCAAGGGAACAGGACTGTGAGGGGGGTGTAGCCCCAACAAAGAGATCACCAGCAGTGCCAACAGAGGCCTGGGGTCCCCCCACCGCATCCCACTCCTGCTGGGATTTCCCTGAGTTCTCTTCCTCTTCCCAACCCCCTCACCGGGCTCAATGCCCAGCACAGTGCCGCAGGAAGCGCTTCTTTGGGTCTAACCTCCTTCTGCTACTGCACATGCTCTTGGAAAAAGCACAGAACTGTTGCCCGTCTCTAATCCCTCCTCCGACATCTCCAGCCTCATCTTCCTGAGCTACCCAGGGGTGGAAGGACTCACCCGAGCACATGATGTATTCCCTGAAGAAGGGAACCCGGAACCACAAGGTCAGCATCATCAGATGAGGGCGGATGCCCGGGAAGACCGATGAGAAGCCAGTGCTCTCGGTGCACAAGTTAGTGAAGGCTCCAGCCGCCAGGACCCCGTGCGGGTGGAAGCCTGCGATGTAGTTCCTGGAGGGGTCCAGCTCCGCGGTCTTGACCAGCTGCAGGGACAGCAACCCTGTGAGCCAGCGCTGGGCCCGTGTGCCAGCCCTGGCTCTGCCTCTCACTAGGGTGACCTTTTAATCACCCTCCCAGTCTCAGGTTCTTCACCCACATGTCTGGCCACCCTGAGTCCTTAGGAAGATTCAGACATGGGGTGTGGCAGCCCCTAGTGACACTGCAGTGCGGGCTGTGCCCCAGGTTCCATGCCGGCTTTGGACAGAAGACTTCCCCCTCCCCCCAGGCTCTTCAGCTATAAACTGGCAATACAGCATCGGGCCCTGTCCCTGCCTCCACCTAGAGCTGCCAAGAAGCCTGGGTACCATGGTTCTTGGAACCACTATCAGGAGAGGATGTCACGCGAAAGCATCAATGGGCCACACGGGGGCGCCACCACGCCAGAAGAACCCCATTTGAACGACACAATAGGTCTTTAACTGTGGGTTCCCCATCCCTGGATTCAAGCAACCTCAGATGGAAAACATCAGGAAAAACAAACAAACAAACAAACAGATGGTTACGTCTGTACTGAACATGAACAGACTCTTTTTCTTGTCCGTGTTCCCTGAACAACACAGTATAACAACTATTTATATAGCATTTGCGTGGCACTAGCTATTATTGGTAATCTAGAGATAGTTTAAAGTACGTGGGAGGATGTGGGTAGGTTACAGGTAAATATTATGCCTTTTTATAGAAAAGAACCGAGATCCATGGCTTTGGATATCTGTGGGGGTCCTGGAACCAACCCTTCACAGATCCTGGATGATTGTTTAAGAACAGCCCTGGGAGTGAGTATTCCTCAGGCACATCAGGAGAGGATTCCTGTTGGGTCCAAGGAGCGTGCAGACCAGGAGCTGGCTGTGGTCTTGCTGGCCCCCAGTGCAGCCAAGTGTCTCTTCCTGTGGCTCTCTGCTCCCCCCTCACCAGCCTTTCATTGCCGGCTGTCTACTCTCTGCCACTGGCTGGCTCAGCGACTTGTCCCAGACTGGTCAGGCCTGCAGCATGGAGGGTGAGGCCAGGTAGACTGAGTGGGAGAGGGAGTGACTTGTTGTTAGCTGCTCTTATGAAGTGGGATCAAGGTGGAAGGGGGAGATCTGAGTGAACAAGTGCTGTTCGTGGTCCATTGCTGAACAGCCTGTGCCATGCAGCTGAGTTTGCAAAGAATATTGTTGTGGACAGTGATTGTAAGGGAGTGGGTGGACAATCCTTTTCCCACTCCACAGGGACTGCGGGGCCACCCTTTTCAGTGCTCTATGCTCTGGGAGACCCAGCCATCAGAGTCCAAAGGGTCCCCAGAGTCCCTGCACAAGTCCCCTCCCCTGGGCAGAAGGCTCCCTGGCAGGACTGCCCAGGCCCTGCAATCTGCTCTCCCTCAGGACAGGAGCAGCCCTCTCTGCTCCGACTCAGCTTTGCCAGGGTGAAAGTGCTTCCTGTCCTCAAGCTGAAACTTTCAGCCGGTCCTCCCTGAAGACTTTTGTTGCTGCCTGTCTGCCCTCCTTCAGAGCAGCCTGGAGGCATTAATAGGGTCCTGAGCCGGTCTGCCTCATCTCCGCTGGACAGCTCCATGTTCTCTTGTCCTTGACCTGGACTTGGCCTCTGCAATCTCTCCACTCCCTGCCCCCCATGCACCCTTTGGGTCATTCACTGACCCTTTGCAGAAGGGCTGCAGGGACTACAGGTGGAGGGCATCACCCCCCAGACAAGGACAGACCTCTTCCCTTCATGCAGCGTGGGGTTTATTAGAAATGAAAATACAGCCGGGCTCGGTGGCTCAGCCTGTAATCCTGCACCTTTGGGAGGCTGAGGTGAGTGGATTGCCTGAGCCCATGGGTTCGAGACCCACCTGGGAAGCGAGACCTCATCTCTACAGTAAATCAAAAAATCAACCGGGCGTGGTAGCGCGCGCCTGTAATTCCGGCTACTCGGAAGGCTGAGGCGGAAGGATCGCCACAGCCCAGCAGGTCGAGGCTGCAGTGGCCAGGAGCGGCCACTGCACTCCAGTCTGGGTGACAGAGTGAGACTCCAACTCAAAAAAAAAGAAAAAAAAAAAAAAGAAATGAAAATACAGGCAGAGAAATCTCTGTTATTCTCACTAGGAAGGTACTTTCTCAGACCAGGTGCTGGTGTTTCTTTAAAAACAGACCCTGAGGCCGGTCATGATGGCTCAAGCCTGTAATCCCAGCACTTGGGAGGCGGAGGTGAGAGGATTGCCTGAGTACAAGGGTTCGAGATCAGCCTGGGTCACTTGGTGAGATCTTGCCTCTACAATAAATCAAAAAATTAGCCCGGTGTGGTGGTGCGTGCCTGTAATTCCAGCTGCTTGAAAGGCTGAGGCAGAAGGAGTGCCTGAACCCAGCAGGTCAAGGCTGTAGTGGCCACGAGTGTGACGCTGCACTCCAGCCTGGGCGACAGAGTGGGACTTCAATTCAAAAAAAAAATGGTGAAAAACTGACCCTGACTGGGGGCAGTGGCTCAGGCTTGTTATTCCAGCACTTTGGGAGACTGAGGCAAGATGATCACTTGCGTCCAGGAATTCGAGGCAAGCTTGGGAAACATAACAAGACTTTATCTCTTAAAAAAAAATTAAATGAAAAAAACCCAGATCTTGCTCAATGTACTGAAATGCTTGCTTAAGAATTTTCATTCTCCGCTAAGTTGGAGGGTAACTTTGTGCCTCCATAAAGATAATTTAACAATACCTATCAAAGCAAAAAATAATAACTGGTTTTTTTTTTTTTTTTTAGTCTGGGTCTCACTATGCCACCCAGGCTGGAGTGCAGTGGCACGATCACAACTCACAGCAGCCTTGACCTCCTGGGCTCAGGCAATCCTTCCGCCTCAGCCCCCCAAGTAGCTGGGACTACAGGCATGTGCTACCATGCTCAGCTAATTTTTTGATTTTCTTGTAGAGATTCTGTCTCACTATGCTGCCCAGGCTGGTCTCGAACTCCTGGGCTCAAGTGATTCTCTCACTTCAACCTCCCAAAGTGCTGGGATTATAGACGTGAGCCACCACGTCCAGTGGGGGTTGCTATTATTTTTAATTGATATAATTCATATACCATAAAATTCACTCTTTTAAAGTGTCCAATTCAGTGGGTTTAGTATATTTAGAATATGTGTAACCATTACCATGAATTCCAGAGCGTTTTCAACACTTTAAAGAGTAACCCATACCCATTAGAAGTCACTGCCCCTGGTGCAGTGGCTCACGTCCATAACCTCAGCACTTTGGGAGGCTTAGGTGAGAGGATTGCCTGAGCCCATGGGTTTGAGACCAGCCTAGGCAACTTGGCGAGACCTCATTTCTACAATAAATCAAAATATTAGCCAGGCGTGGTGGCGGGTGCCTGTAGTTTTAGCTACTTGGAAGGCTGAGGCGGAAGGATCACCTGAGCCCAGCAGATGAAGGCTGTGGTGGCCATGAGCTTGCTACTGCCCTCCAGCCTGGGTGACAGAGTGAGACACCAGCTAAAAAATAAAAATAAAAAAAAAGTCATTGCCCCTCTCAGTTCCTGTCAACCAAAAATCTACTTTCTGTCTCTATGGATTTGCCTGTTCTAGACTTTTCACATAAATGGAATCACACAATATGTGGTCACTGTGTCTGGCTTCTTTCACTTAGCATGATGTTTTCATGAGTCATCCACATCGTAGTGTGTCAGTGCTCCATTCCTTCTTATGACTGATCACTAATCCATTACACAGATATTCCACATTTTGTCTGTCCATCCTCCAGTCAGTAGGCATTTGAATTCTTTACACCATTTGGCCATTACAAATAATGTGGCCAAGAATGCTTGTGTACAAGTTTTTGTGTGAAACTGTTTTCAATATCCAGTTGATGGGAGGCCACTTTTAATCCCATGACCCTCCTCAGTCCCTGCCTAAGAGATCACAGCCCTGAACAAGGCTCTCCAGGAGAGAGCATCTGGACCTTGGGAGGGAGGGAGGACTGTGAGGGATTGTATCTCTCCATAGCTGCCCAATCCCCTCTACAAGTGATCTCGTGTCCTCTCACATCCTGGGACAACCAAAAAACCTTGAGAGACTGCTGTCCTGACAGTTCCTTTGCGGTCCACAAAGCACCCACACTACTAACTTGTTTAACACCCACCATGGCCTTAGGAAGGCCAGCTGGAATGAGATGCCCCCATGACAGCAAATTGCAACGCAGAGACCTGCCCAGAGCCACACAGGTGACTGGGGTCTGAGTTCTGCTATGTCCTGCAGAGTGCATTGGAGACAGCAAGGGGGGCCAGGAAGCCCTTGGTTCAGACCCAGGACATAGCCTGACGCTGAGGACTTTCTCTGGGGCTTCTTCCTTTTGGAAGGGCCAGAGCTTCCTCTTCTGGGAGAAAGTGACTCTGCACCAGCAACCTGCCTTACGGCCTACTTGCGTACCTAGGTTACTTGGCAGATTAGAAATGCCGGGCATTGGCCAGGCGCAGTGGCTCAGCCTATAATCCCAGCAGTTTGGGAGGCTAAGGCGAGAGGATTGCCTGGGCCTGAGGGTTCGAAACCAGCATGGGCAACTTAGTGAGACCTCGTCTCTACAATAAATCACAAAAATTAGCCGGGCATGATGGTGCACACCTGTAGTTCCAGTTACTTGAAGAGCTAAGGTGGAAGGATCGCCTGAATCCAGCAAGTCGAAGTTTCGGTGGCTGTGAGCTTGCCACTGCACTCCAGCCTGGGTGACAGAGTGAAACTCCAACTCAAAAAACAAGAAAACAAAAAAACGCCGGCCCTGCAGGATATGATTCAGTAAGACCGGCTGGGTCTTGGGCATCTGATTTATGACAAATTTCCCAGGGGATTTGGATGCACATCAGAGTTTGAAAATCACTGCTCTACCCCAAAGGAAGCCCCCTCCGGGTTCAAGCAGTTGGTAGTGTGTGTGTGTGTGTGTGTGTGTGTGTGTGTGTGTGTGTGAGACTTTTTTTTCCTGAATGGTGCATAAAATACTGATATACTTTCCCATTGAGGGTATCTCAGAGTTGAGGAAATACAGAAAGTATTTCTCTGAGAGTTGGAAAGAGTGCCAGAGGTGGTGCACACTCCCAGTCCCTGCGATGTGCCAGGCCCCTTGCTTACGCCAGTCTACTGCATCCTTCACCAACCCCTTGAGGCAAGTCTTGGTACCACTGCCCCCACTCCACAGATGAGAAAGCAGAGGCACAAGGCTCAGTAGCTCACTCTAGTCACACAGCTAGCGCAGAGCCAGGGCTTGCACCCCATGTGTGTAGCCAGCAGACTGCTGTCCTGTAGGAGTCCCTTAGTGAAGGGAGGATTAATGGGGTGAGAGGGTGCACCCCAAGTCAGAGCACCAGCGCAAGTGATGTGACTCATGCCTGGACAACTCAGGTGGCAAAGGTGGAACAGGCGGATGTGGGGTGGGCAGGGGTCCAGAGTATAGGGACTTGCAGGTTGCAGCAAGAATGGAATTTATCCTAAGAGCGATGGGAGTCCCTGCTGCAATTTAAATCATTTTACGAGGATTATTCTGGCCGCAGTGTAGAGGATGGACTGCAGGGGCTGCTGGCAGAGCCCAGAGAAAGAAATGTCTGTGTCCCAGACAGTGGTCCGGACTTAGGGCAGGGGGAGGAGAGACGGGTGAGGCTGGGAGTTTAGGAGACAGACCCCAGGCTCTAGAGCAGTGGTTCTCAACTGGGGAGATGTTGTGTCCCCCTTATCTCCCTCCTCCCACTGAGGACATTTGTTTTGTTTTTTTTTTGAGTTGGAGTCTCACTCTGTCGCCCAGACTGGAGTGCAGTGGCCGCTCCTGGCCACCGCAGCCTCGACCTGCTGGTCTCCGGCGATCCTTCCGCCTCAGTTTTCCAAGTAGCCGGAATTACAGGCGTGCGCTACCACGCCCAGCTCATTTTTTGATTTATTGTAGAGATGAGGTCTCGCTGCCCAGGTGGATCTCGAACCCACGAGCTCAGGCAATCCACTCACCTCAGCCTCCCAAAGGCGCGGGATTACAGGCTGAGCCATTGAGCCCGGCTAAGACATTTTAATATCTACAGATATTTTGGTTGTCACAGCTACTCCTGGCATTGAGTGGTTTAGACAGCCGCACAATGAAGAGTGATACAGTTCCACATGTCAATGGTTGCCAGGTGGAGAAAGTCACCTGAAGAGTTGCCTGGCATGGGGGGGGCACAGAAAAAGAAAATGAGTGGGAGGCCCCTCAATCCCTGAGGGTCGTCCCTAGGGCTGAGGAGACAGCTGTGCTCTGTGCCAGCTCCCTATGCCTATGGCAGCACTCCTGGGAGTGTCTCTGGAGACAGCCCTAGTGCCATGTGAAGGAAGACCTCACGGCAGAGCCTTCCCAGGTGAGAGGAACCATCTCAGGAGGAAGTGAGCATCCTAGACTGTGTAAGCTGAGGTTCCTGTTCTGGTAAGAGCTGACCACTGGAGTCCTACTGACTCAGGTTAAGAGAACTGAGTGAGCTGAGAGGCCGTGGGTGGGGAGGTTGGGCACGAAGTCCCTAGTGGCACCTGGTAAGCTGTAGAAGAACTGACGGTTGGTCACAGGTGTGTGTGGGAGGGTGAGGTCAGGAAAGTGACCGGCCTTGTCTAAGCTTGGTTCTGACAATGACAATGGCCAGGGCTATATGGGCAGCATTTCTTGACAGCAGGTCACAGCCTGGCCACAGCCCTTCGTCCCCCTATGGCCTTGGCCTGTGTAGATAGTGTGTGCTCAGATGATGAAATCCTCACGGCGGGGGGAACCCCAGCTCCAGGGTGGGTCTCTGGCATGCAGGGGAGGAACAGATCCTCCTGCACAAAACATTGTCTAACTTTCTTTCATTAGCTCTTTAGGAGACCAAGATATGACCTTAGAAAGCCCCCAGGCCTGGAAATGATTTCTGAATTCTGCCTGAAATTCCACCATCAGGCGCTAGTTCATAAAATCATGGTAGGAACTGATAAAGGCTCAGAAATCATCAGAGGACTACGTGCATCTCACAGGGGCAATGCAGAGGTTTGGAAAGGCGGGAACTCCCTACCTTCTGCTCACCCCAAGATCCCCACAGGGCCTGCGCAGTGAAGGTGTGTGGAAGGGTGGGAGAGTCTACCTGCTGAGAGTCTGCAGACCACTGTCCCACCCCGCAGGCCCCAGCCTAGGATGAGCAGAGTCAAATTGAACATCATCTCGCCCCCTGCTGGCCACTCTGAGGTACTGACCACCCTTGGCTGGTGGGTCTCCAACGGGCCTGCAGCGTGCAACAATCCTGAAAAACTGTGCACATAGAACTTCTGTAAATGGAGATCCATGTCCCAGCAGTGTCACTGGTGCCAAGGTTGGGAATCTCTCCTCAAGAGCCACCTGTCTGGGGCAGGAGTAGGAAGGAGAGTGATGAGGGTAGGTACAGAGCCGCCTCAGCATCCTTTCTGCCAGACGTGCAACTGGAAACCCTCCAGGTGCAAAGATGGCCTGGGTCCTGATCGCAGGGCGGATGCTATCATTGGAGGCCCCTGGCCTGCCTGAAGACACCCCTGGAGAACTTTCAGTAGGGCCTTCCCAGTTCGTGGTGTGGCCTCCAATGGCCTCCACCATCCGACCTGAGGCCACCCCGCCACTCCTGCCTCATCTGCAGGTTCACCTTCTGCGTCAGTCATGCTGAACGGCGGACTGCGCTCAGGACCAGGACCCACACTGCACAAGCTTCTGGGCCTGTGCTTATGCAGTTCCCTTTACCTTCTTTCCCTGCTGAGCTCAGGACTCAGCTCACAAGTGGAAGGCGAGGCCAGAACCAGACCCTAGAAAGCTCCACTGGAAGCTTGACCCTACTGGAGGCTTTCTCTGTCTTGGTCCCTGATGTCACATTCACCTCCCCAGGATGGCCCACAGCACACTTTCTGGGGAAACTCTGACCTTCCTGGCACAGACAAGGGAGCCCCAGGCTGGAAAGGAGAGGCAGAGAAGGGAGTTCAGAATCTCAAAGCTCAGAGATCCCGGAGTGGAACAGGGGACTCTGCTCATGGCACACCCATGGCTCTCAGAGCCAGCAAACCCTGCCTGTCTTTGCTGACAAGACCCGGGAGATGGTCCTGCAGAGGAAGCCCATATGGGGGGGGACTGTGCCCCCACCGCCTGCCCCACCCCCCAAGCTGTACCTCACTCTTCCCTTCCACATCCACCACCTGTCATGAGCGTGGGGCTCTCTGTGGCAACTCCTGCTCTCTGCCTCGCCCCACACACCCCTGCCCTTCACCCTAGAGGCCCTGCTCCCTGGGGTGTCAAAGGCTTCTGCCCTTGGGTTGTTGCTCAGCCTTTGTGGGTCTTTCTTGTGCCCCAGGACTCTCCTGAGGGAGCAAGGCGGAAGCCCTGACTCTGCCACTGAGCCCCCATGACTTGGGCAAGTCGCTCAGCTTCTGTGGGCTTATTTCCCCCACTCCTCCCCCTTGATCAGCCGGGGAGCTTCTTTCTGGAGGAGCAGGAAGAGGCGGGGCCCCTGGATGGGGTGTGAAGTTCAGCACGACAGGTTTCTAGGCACTCAGGCCTTCCTGAACCTGTGGTCAGAGTCCCCACTGACTCAGTAAGATAACGCTATCAGTTTCCTGAAAGCCTACAGGGTGCTTCACCTGCTTTGTCTCATTGAGTCCATACAACCCCGTGAGGGATGTGGCATCACCTCCTTTTTACACATGAGGAAACTGAGGCTCAGAGAGACAGCCTAACTTCACCCAGGTCATCCAGCTGGTAGGGGACAGAAAAGAGCTGGGGTTGGCATCTTGTCTGTCCAGCTCCAGAGACCGTCCCTGCACCCTCCTTCTCTCCTGTTTCCAGAGGTGACCAGCTGCCCCTGCCCAGCCCTTCTCTGTGTCCCTCTGCCTTCCCAGTCTACCTCATCTGGCCCATAAACCTTCACGAACTGGCTGCTCAGATCAAGGGTTTTGCCTATGTAGGATTCCACTAGAGAAGCTGAAGGCTCTGCTCATCCAGATCCAGTGATCTGCTCTGCACCCACCATCAAGTCCAGGGCCAAGTGTCCACCATGACCACAAGGTGCCAGCAGTCAGAGAGCCAACAATGTGAAGGTACTCAAAGTAGGAGGGGTCAGAATGGGATGAGGCTTTGCCCGAGGACACATAGTATGCCAGAGCCAGGGCAGGATGGAGCCGGAGAACAGCTCAGGGCTCTCCCCGCTGTATCTCTACCCATAATCAATGTACAGACTTTGCATCTGCAAAAGAATTTGCTGTGTGTCCCTGGGAACACCCTGTCCTCTGTATGGGAGTCTCATCATTTGTATGTAAGCACAGGTCTAGCTGGTCTCTTAGGACTTGTGAACTTGTTATCTTCACCCCAAACCTGGCTGTTGATGGGTCTGCACCATTAAGACACATGTGCACGCCACCCCATGTGTCCCACAGAACTCTTTCAAGCAGTGCACGCTCACCAACACTTGAGCTGGCCCCACATCCACGTAGACAGGAAACTATGATCCCAGAGGAGTGGGACCATCCCCCAGGCCACATGGTACCGGAAGCCAAGGCTCCTGCCACGCAGCCCAGTACCTGCTCCCTGATCGCAGGGCCACATGCCCCCTGTGGAGATGGGAGCACCATGGCCCTGGCCACAGTCCAGCTCAACCCCAGTACTCACCGAGATGGGGAAATAGTCCCTCATGTATCTCCATATAGTCCAGCACCGAGTCCACTGGACACGCCTGCCCCCCCGCCGCGGCGTGTCCCGGTCCAGATACCACCACGCTGCGTACAGCAAGGCCAGGAACCAGAATCTTGTGAATAGGAGGCCTATGAAAACCACAATGCAGATCTGGGCTGGGAAGGAAAACAGGAACAGTTAGGGGACAGAGGTCTGAGAGAGAGGCAGGTGACACTGCCAAGACTGCGCTCTCCCTGTCTGCCCAACACTGGCAGCACAATACTGTCCAGTCCTCAACCCCCAGAGGAAGAGGACATCTTCTCACACCTTCAAGAAGGAGACATAGGCTCTGAGATGGAATGCTGGCAGCCTAGAGTCACACTGGGAGCGTGAGTTCGAGCCCAGGTGGGCCTAACTCTAAAGCTCGTTTTGTTCCCACTGCACTAGGCTGCCCTATTCACTCCATTGACCTCCCTACAACCTCCCAAGACTTGTGTCTCCCCAGTAAAGTTGTCTGCATTCACGTACTGCTCAATAAATGGTGACAACTGATTGAATTAATTGTTCGAGTTTCTACCTTTTGGGGTCTCAGAGCAAAGGAAGACCCTTTTCTGCCCAGCCCTCTTTCTGATCATACTCTTCCTGTCTTTTCTTTCCTTTCTTTTGGAGTTGGAGTCTCACTCGGTCGCCCAGACTGGAGTGCAGTGGCCGCTTCCGGCCACCGCAGCCTCGACCCGC